AGTCCCAGCTTTACTACTTTTACTACCTTCTCGCATCTGAAGCATATACCTCTTTTTTTTCTAGGATCTTGTGGTTGTCCTTGACCTTGATGTGAGGACCTTGTGAGGTGCACTGCATTGTGGATTCTTTTCTTTTTTCTTTTTATTCCTTTTTATTCTGAGTAGCCTCACTGAGCAGGTGATTGCTCATGGTTCAAGCCCCGCGTTGGGTGCCAATTGCCAGAAACAATCAGTCAGGGTAGTCAGGGTTCCATTACCTACCTGCTGCAGGCCTGAGAAAAAGAATACACTAAGAGACAGGCCTAGGAGAGAAAGCATGGTGCCAGGACGACCAATGCTGGTGCAACCGACAAAGGCCCTGGACAGTCCCAGGCACTGACTTTTATTGGCAATCAACTGGGGCAAAGGCAACGTGTGGTTTCTATGGAAATTAATGTAAACAAGGCTCATAAAGGACAAGACAAAGAATTCTCAAATTAGGAACAGAATTGACAAAATATATGACTGTAATTGGAACATTGTCCTAGTCTGAAGGTTTTAGTTGTGGGAACAGAATTTGGGTGCAAGTTACTCTGACCTTGGCATGTAGGCTTTGGCTAGACTCACTTCTATAAACCAGCCAATTGTGGGGTTAACTCTTCACAGCCTGCTCTGGGCATAATCAAAATTACAGTCCTTTGCACAAAAGTGGAAGGAGGAAGAAGACACCCAGCACTTGCAGACTGAAGCTTCTGCAATCACAAACCAAATAAACCTTTCCTTCTCTAAGTTGTGTATGTCCCAGTGATGGAAAGTTGACTAACACACTATGTATACATTTGTACATATGAAATCACACCTTAGTATAAAAAGAAAGGAAGAGAAAAAGAGATGCAAGGCTAATATATCTTTAATGCATTCATATTTAGTTTTTGAACTGCTGATCACTTTGAAGTATGACTACAGTGATTGATTTTCACTGTCTTTGATTTGAGAATATTTTCTCCTCCTATATAAAAATTACATGTATGATATTTTATTATCTTAAATTGTTACTTAAAATTATCTTGAAATTATGAAAGTGACTACTAGAGTAATATCACTGTTTGGGAACTATATGAAAAACAAAGCCAAATATAAGAAATTAATCAAAATATAGTATTATGTATAATTATTCATTTCATAACAGATTCTCTCATAATTATATTATTACATATTTCATTTAAATTTATATAGGAAAATTCTAATGTATAACATTTTTATTAAAAGATATTAAGAAAAGAAGAGCATTTGTAAAAGACATTCAAAAAACAAAATGAATTCTCATCAAGATTTAAGAAAGTTATTTAAAATACCATAGTGAAACAATGCATGAAAAGTAGAAACCTTCTGCAAATATAGAATTCAGTGTTAGCTCTCTCATTTCTGAATAAAGAGAAACTTTTATTTCTAGATTTAGCAATAGCTTTAAAGCTGCAAAAAGGGCAAAACCTAATAAATTATGAACACACATGATTCAATGAGGGAAGCTTCAAAAACTTTTGCACAATAAAACCTAGTATGTTCTTGAGTATTATTTCCTTTGAAATATCTTGGATATTAATTTTTTTAAGCCAGGAATTTTGTAATTCCAGTATTGTGGGAGGCTGAGGCAGAAGGATCACACATTTGAGGCTGGGAAACTTAGTAAACTTATTGAGATCCTGTTTTAAAAATTAAAAAGTGCCAGGGACTTAGCTCTGTGTGAAGACCCTGGGTTCAATTCACAGTATCACAAAAAGGTTATTTATTCTTCAAATTGTGAGAGGTGGCAGAGATATAATTTTATATATTACCTATTTTCCTCTCCTTTGTGTTATCTCATATTTATCATAAGTGCTTAGTTCAGAAGAACCTATCAAAAAATAGTACGTTTGGTTAAATGTAAAATTTCAAGTGGCCTACTGGTCATCATCTAACTTTATGTGAATTATCTTCAATACATCTTAAAATTGTGCAAAATGTATAAAGAGTTGTTTTTCAAGACTTGGGTGTTGGATTCTATTGACTTAGATTAATTGTATTTAGTGTTCAATGGAAATAAATTAAAACATTTTGAATTATAATATTGACATAAAATAATAATCATGAGAAGCAAAAATAATATCAACAGGAAAGAATTAAGGATCTTTCTAAATGTTAAGAAAGGACCATGTTAGAATTAAGCATCCTTCTAAATGTTAAATTATTGCCCAATTTATTTTTATACAATTACAGAAATTAAATGATAGCTTTACAATGTTATGCTATTATACTTAATATATAATCTATTCCAATCTTCTGGAAATACAAGGGATAGAAAACAAGTTAAATGACACTACAAGGAAGAAAAGCCAAACAAATCCAGGATACAGAACATCACAAAAGGCAACTTCTCTGGACACTTCAAAAAATTAACTGTCATAAGAGGTGGGGGACTATTCTAGAGTCAACAGACATAATATCCAACATAGTCATAGACCTTAGTTTAAAAAACAGTTTCTGAGATGTTCCTTAGAACAAGTAGTTAAGAAAAGTGTATTTATAAAGGAAATTCAACAGCAAATGTGGTCTCTTATCACAGACAAAGGAAACTGGAGCAGGATGGTGGAAGGATAATTAGTGAGATTTAATAGGCATTGATTTTAAAATAATATTGAAGTATTATTGTAATTTTCATATATGTAATACTGTTACCAAATCCAGGTCCAAAAGCTCATCCCACAGAAAAACTAATGTACAAGGGACAAATTTTAGGAAGAAAGAGAATAGAGTCATTGGCCAAAGAAAGTAGAGAGAGCTTTGTTCACAAATCAGCTTTTCATTCCAGGGAGAGGTTACAAATACAGAACAAGGATAATGAAGGACAGAGATAGACTAATAAAGCAGAAGAGTATTCATGTCTTTTCTGGGAATAAATGGAAATCTTTCAGGAATTTGAGTGTCACTCTTTTGCTCCTTTCATGGTCTGGTGTTTCTGCTCATGATGGCTGGTAGGTGTCTATTCTTGAGTGCCAAGAAGCAGGAGACAGTAATAGTGACAGTCTAGGTCAGGTTAATCCTGTATTATAGTCTTGGAGAAAACATTTGCTAAATGATCAACTTGTCTACATGCAGAGCTGAGTAACATCTTACTCAAGGTTAAGAAGATAAGACAATGTGAAGACAGAGATGCCAAGAATTTTCATCCTGTTCCAGTCACCATTAAACACCTGCAGGCCCAAAAGAAGAGTCAGTGTTTTCGGCAAAAGAGGTTTTCCAAGTCCTTAAAAATTAACCCAGGCAGTTTTTGTCATCATAACCCGTGTAGCAGAGGTGTTATCTAAAGCAAAGCTAGTGGGAAACTAATAATGTATTGCCCATGTGTGAGACTTCCAAACTTAGTAATTTTTTAAGTCAACTCAAGTGAAGCTAGAAGATATTCTTTGTTTCTTTCCTTGATAACAATAGTAGCATTATGATCCTGTGGGATAATGTCCTTATACTTAGGAGATAAATCCTATTTCAAAGTGAAGAATCATGATGTCTGCAAGTAACTTTCAATTTGATCAGCAAAACTCACTTTATTCTTAAAAGATAGAACAAATATGGCAAAATATAAACAATTATTTACTTTGAATGGAGGATAGAGTTATGTTTATCATATAATGCTTTTAACTTTTCAAAATATTTGAAAATTTTCTTAATGCAAATTTTAAAAATTACTGTAATAGACTTTTAAAAACAATTTTAGGTTTTACAGAAAATTGAACAGATAGTACAGAGTTCCAGCATAACTTCTCTCTTCCATTCAGTTTCCTATATCTTTAATATATTGCCTTAGCATTGCACATATATTAAAACTGTTAGCTCATATTGATAAATTATTAACTAAAGTCCATTGTTTGCATTAGGGTCGGCTTTTTGTGTTATACCCATTTATGAATTTTTACAAATGCTTAATGGCATGTATCTATCATTATGATATAATAAAGAAAAAATTCACTCTTCTAAAAATCACCTGTTTTAGCTGTTTATTCTCACTTATTTCTCCCTAGGAACCACTGACATTTTTAAAGTCTTTATAATTTTGCTTTTACCTAAATATCAGGTAGTCGTAGCAATACAATATATTGTCTTTCCAGATTGGTCTTTCAACAAGTAGTATTCATTTAAGTTTTTTCTGTGTTTTTGTGGCTTGATAATTTCTTTTTATTGAGCATTTTAAAAAAATACAAGGGATAGTAACTCAAAAAAACCTGACAATACACTGCAACATACATACTTTGAAATCTGCTTTAACAAATCATCTCCTTTAAAACACTTTAAAATAATTGAGGAAATTTTAGTATTGACTGGGTAACTGATACTATTAAATTATTGAGTTTTCTAGTCATGACAACTGGATTGAGGTTATATAAAATTTAGATCTATTATGAAGGAAAATTAAAAATTGGACATATTTATAAAAAGAAACTACCTAGTGCTGCTGGAGATTTTTCACAAGGCTCAATCACATCCAAATCTAGGGAAATGTCAAGTAGGAGCAATGCAAGAAAGAGCCATAAGTAATAATATTTCAGTGTCTAACAGAACATTCTTATTGAATTCCTAGCTTTCGTTGGGTCTCATGCTTTTCACTTGGATTTGAGTGTGAGAATGGTAACCTTACCACCATACAGATATGCACATGCTCAATCTCTGAATGAAAAACTTGCAACTTTCTAGTCAAAGTCTTCTTTCCACTGAATCCTAGACACTCTTCAGTTTCCAAATTTAATTTTTTCCCCTCGGATCTAAGAAAAAACTGGAGTGATTTATCTATGCTTCTCATATCAGTACAGATGAAATCAAAGCCTTTTGAAATACAGATAAGACTTTAACACGCGGGGAAACGCTAATTGAAAACATTCCATTTAAATAGCCCAATCTGAAGAAAAGTGTAAGCATTTTCGTTTTAGAGAAAATACATGCTGAGAAAGGACGCAGGGTGGCGCTGCAGCCTTAGAAGTAGAGCTAACAAAGGGCACACTCGGTTACTTTACCCAGGTACTCCGCTAAAGAAGCAAAGCAGGAAGAGGAGGCTTTCTAAGGTGCTTGTTCCAGAATATCAAGGACCTAGGATTTTCCAGTTATCTCATATCTGTGAGATATTGGGAGATATAGTCAGCGACAACGTGAGCAAGAGCTGGAGCGGGTTTGCTAGGAGACCAGAAGGCGATGGAGGCCAGGGAGGGAAAGAAATGCATTCAGAGACAAAGGCAAGTCCCGATATTCTTTGTTTTGCTGGGCATAGCTCTGGCTGGTTCTGAGTCTAGGCGCTATTCAGTGGCTGAGGAATCTGAGAGTGGCTCCTTTGTGGACAATTTGTTAAGAGACCTGGGGCTAGAGATAGAAGAACTAGCTGTGCGGGGGCCCCGTGTCATTTCGAAGGGGAAAAAAATGAGTTTACAGTTAGATAGACAGACTGGGGATTTATTATTAAATGAGAAACTGGACCGGGAGGGGCTGTGTGGCCCCACCGATCCCTGTGTACTGCCTTTCCAGGTGTTACTGGAAAATCCCTTGCAGTTTTTTCAGGCCGAGCTACAGATTAGGGACATAAATGATCATTCTCCAGTGTTCATAGACAAAGAAATCATTTTAAAAATTTCAGAAAGTATCACGCCTGGAACCACTTTTCTAATAGAACGTGCTCAGGACTTGGATGTAGGAAGCAACAGTCTCCAAAATTACACAATCAGCCCCAATTTCTACTTTCATCTTAAATTACAAGACAGTCCCCAAGGCTTGTTACCGCAGCTGGTGCTGGACAAAGCACTGGATCGTGAAGAGCAGCCTGAGATCAGGTTAACCCTAACAGCTCTGGATGGTGGGACTCCACCCAGATCCGGCACCGCCCTGGTCGTCATTGAAGTACTGGACATCAATGACAACGCGCCTGAGTTCACACAGCTGCTTTATGAGGTGCAGGTCCCCGAGAACTGCCCTGTGGGATCCCAGGTTGCTACTGTCTCTGCTAGGGATTTAGACATTGGAACCTATGGACAAATATCGTATGCATTTTCCCAAGCTTCTGAGGACATTCGCAAAACTTTTCAAATAAATGCAAATTCAGGAGAACTTCTTTTAAAACAGAAACTGGATTACGAATCAGTTCAGACTTACACAGTAAATATTCAGGCGATAGACGGTGGGGGCCTTTCTGAAAGTTGTGTAGTGTTTATCCAAGTGATGGATTTGAATGACAATCCTCCGGAACTAACCATGTCCACACTTATCAATCAGATACCAGAAAACTTGCAGGAAACCGTAATTGCTGTATTCAGTGTTTCAGATTCTGACTCTGGAGACAACGGAAAGACAGTTTGCTCCATCCAAGATGATCTTCCTTTCTTCCTGAAACCCTCTGTGGAGAATTTTTACACTCTTGTGACAAACACAGCCCTGGATCGAGAGACCAGATCTGAGTACAGCATCACCATCACGGTCACCGACTTGGGAACACCCAGGCTCAAAACCCAGCACAACATAACCGTGCAGGTCTCCGACGTCAACGACAACGCCCCGACCTTCACCCAAACCTCCTACACCCTGTGGGTCCCCGAGAACAACAGCCCCGCCCTGCACATCGGCACCATCAGCGCCACAGACAGAGACTCAGGCACCAATGCCCAGGTCACCTACTCCCTGCTGCTGCCACCGCCCCGCGACCCGCACCCGGGCCTCGCCTCGCTCGTGTCCATCAACGCCGACACCGGGCAGCTGTTCGCGCTGCGCGCGCTGGACTACGAGACCCTGCGCGCCTTCGAGTTCCGCGTGGGCGCCGCCGACCGAGGCTCGCCCGCGCTCAGCAGCGAGGCGCTCGTGCGCGTGCGCGTGCTGGACGCCAACGACAACGCGCCCTTCGTGCTCTACCCGCCGCACAACGCGTCCGCGCCCTGCAC